GTATGTATGTATGTATGTATGTATGTATGTATGTATGTATGTATGTATGTATGCATGTATTTGACAGTCGGTTTGGTCCAAACCGCCCAAAAAAGGTTCCAGACCACAGACCGGACCGGACCGCCCGGTTTTGCTATTTTCCAAACCAGACCAAATCGCCAGACCGCTCAAACCGCCAAAAATGGTCCGGTTTGACTTCATTCGGCCGGTTTGAGCGGTCCAACAGTTTTTTTTGAACACCCCTAGGGTGAAGTTTATACACTTGAATGTGGGATGATTAGGACCGAGTTATCAATGGAACAATTGCTTTAATTCAACTGAGTCACCTAGTCATATTGGGTCATTGCATTGATGTTCTTGTTTACATGTACATGTTTTGGTCATGATGTAATTTAGTGGTTTCATATAGTCTTAGGGGTTGTTCGGTTCGTTTTATATTAATACATATATGAATAAAATTGTTTATATCAATAAGTTATTCGGTTGGTGTGTTGAATAAATAATCTGAATGTCAGAAATGACCAATTTACTACCGGTCTATATTTTTTGTTGAATAAAACAACTATTTGATAAAAATGTTGAATAAATGACTTTTAATTATAAAAAATAATTCAATTTAAACATCTTTTTTAAATAAAACAACATGATAAAAAGCAGTTTTCGATAAGAACCTACTTTGGTGGGAACCGACTTTGATCATATCCCCTTTGGGGTCATAATTCTTCACTTTCACACTTTCTTCCGGTCTCTCAAAACAAGTTTCTTTCCCCCAATTTGATGGGTCCTGAGTTGATCAAAGCAGTGACGGTTTCCAAATCAATAGTTCGGTTTCCAAATCAATAGTTCGGTTTCAGAAAACTTCCCGCCGAGGCATAACATCAAAGGCGTAGGTTGATCTTTCTGGTCGACGTTGCAATTCAATTTGACACGTGGGAAGAGCTTACCCTATTAGTGGCTCGGTTTGGTCTCACTCCCTTCTCGTACTATTCCTCCCTACTAAAATAAGAGCGATTGAGAATCTCGAGAACCTTTCTGAATTTCTGTTTTCTCGGGGCAATTTGAAAATGAGTATATCTTTCTTGTAATGCCATCCACTCCACTATTCTGATTGAGAAATAATCTCTTCTGAACGACCTGGTCATAATGAGTTTAAAAACCTGTGCTTTCTTGGCCTTGTGGAACATGGATTAACATTATGTCATTCCTACAAGTGTCGTCGTCTTCCTCAGAGAATTTACATTAAATGGTACTATTTTTCTGGGCAAAAACTTAATATTCAGAAGAAAAAAATGGAAAACTCATTTTAGTAGCACCAAATCGACATTGAGGAGAGAAACTCATAATCAATGACACCAAATCCATGTCGAGTGATGGAGATCGATAGATTG